TTTATAAGCTCTTTCATTGATGGTTTACGTAACATTCTAGTTGCTGGTCAGGAAAAGAAATTTTGCTCACCTTCTCTCCTCAGCCTCCAGTAAAGTGGCAAATGCATCCAGTTCTAAGTCAAGTGGTAGATGGGCATTGTATGCCAGCCCCAGCTCCCGCACCTTGGCCATTAGGACTTCTTGCAGCTCTCGCAACTTAGCCTCCAGATTCTTTATAGTGTTTGCAGCCTGCTGGCGCTCCATTTCCAGGTTTTGAATGAGGCCAGCATTTTGGGCTTCCAAACTGGAACACTAGAAAATGAGTTCAATTAGTTATTTTCATTGTTTATCATTTAAGAATCAAATATTTTTTGACAGGGCATATCTAAAAGCACATGTCAGAAATTTATAACAATGGAGCTTTTAAATTTCTTGCTGAACATAAACAGTGATGTCACCACAGCAAACAAATGAGAAGTCTCTTTCATAGCTTCAGAGCAAGCTCTCATTACTTGTGCTGCAGGGTGCCTGCTTTGTCACCAGTGAGATGATCTGAGATGAGTCACCAGAGTTGAGGAGAGGTTGGCCACTGAGGGTCTGGCACTAATAGCAGTGCTTAACCCTTTAAATCCCATGAGTGACCAAGATAGAATTTCACCTCACAATATCCTATGCTTACAATATCAAGGACACAAGCGATGAAAATAAAGGAAAAGATTATTTAGGGGATTATTAGTTGATCCAATACCAAATTCTTCAAACTAACATCATAAGAATTGTATGGCAAACAGAAGAGAGAATTACTGATGAGATCTTGGGAGTTAAAGAGTTGACTCCTTGCAAACCTCTCACTGGTTTATGTTACTCAGGACCTCATATCTTAGAGGGCAAACTCATGCCAAAGCACTAATGGGGAGGACCTACAAGTATGTATTCACAAACTCTTTCACTTACTAGATAATCTTTGTTATCTGTTTGATTGAAAAAATTACTGAGAAAATTTCAGCCAATTATTGATTAATGCTAATGAAGGAAGTTCAAGATACAGGGTATTTGTGATATTTACTATAGATACCTTAGCTTCAAGATTGATGTTCTTAGAATGCAGAGACTCAACTTGAGCCTTCAAATGGATGTTGTCGTCTGTGGCAGCTGCAAGGTTTCTGCTTTCATTATCCAACTGTGCTCGGATCTGGTTCATCTGCACGAGGTGGAAAAAATTTTGTATACATCAAAATTAATGGTACCTGCATCAAACTCCAAGCTGAAACCATTTTTAATCATGGTGAGCAGAAAAAATTTTGTTGACGGCATGTGCAGCTAAAAGATACCAGTTTCAGAGGAAGTGCTTTGAAAGTCTAAAATTAAAGTGAGACAAACACTGGCACAAAAATATAAGTAATGTTTCACAAAATTTCCTTAATATTTTTTCACCATTTTTGTGACTAAATCTTTTCTAGAAACTTTTTAGAATTTTTGGTCACAAAAAGACCTTCTGCAAGTGCTTGATAACATCAGTGTTGAAATATTGCTACATGCCTTTTCCAAGTTAAATTTTTTTTACCTGTATATGGCATGAACTTTAGGAGGCCTGCCGTTAAAGTAGCAAAATATTTCTCAGTTTCAATCTCTTATGGCTAACATGAAATTTGGTTATGTTCAGTTGGACTCAGCTCTTTTACACAAGATATCACAGTGGTATGGGGTGAGGTTTCAGTCATATAATTTAAAAATAAATTACAAATTTAAGATAGTTCAACTAAACTGAATTCTCCAGGTGGGACACTTCATCAACTCTTCTCAACATAAGGGTGGAGTATTATTTGTACTAAACAAATACATTAGCCCACTAAGAGTGATGTAGGTGATATAAAAGTTAACATTGAAGGATTTTTTGTACTTACCCCATTGTGATAGGAGATTTCTGCCTCTTCTTTGAATCTTCGTAACTCTGCATCACTGTGCAGCTTCACTTTGGCCAACATAGCTGACAAGTTTTCATCAATAATGTTGTGCTCATGCAATCTTTCCTCAGCCAACAAGATAGTCCTTTCAGCATCATCCAGACGACAACGCATTTCGTGCAGCTCCTAAAAGACAAGCACACTAATTTGCATCTTGTTGCTTAAGGTGAAACATGGTATCTAACAGATAATTATCGATGAAAAATCAATGATAATTTTATAATTGGTTCTCACCTTTTCATGAAGCTGCTGCTGAAAGTTGAGTTTATCCCTGAGCTGATTGGCCAAAGTCTGGAGATCAGCTCTTGCTGCTACCTCAGTATCTAGGGCTTGCTGAGTTTGTGTCAAGGCAGTTTGAAGCCCATCTCTATCTCGTTTTGTATCCATGTGGGCATTCTGATGTTGAGTGGTGGTGACTCTAGCATCCTGTAACAGTGCCTCCTTTTCTGCAATAACTCGCTGGGCATCTGCTAGAGCATTTTCTAACTTTTGGCGGGCACTGGTCTCTTCCCCTAATCTGATTCAGACAAAAGAATATTCAAAATTGCAACAATCTGTATATTACTTACATTGCCTGCTAAAGTACACCCTAGCAAGAGATTTAATTTGTTAGATAAAATGGTGCACAGATAAGATGTGCTGAAGGGCTCTAAGTCCAAGAGCACTAATTAAGGATATCTACTTCTTTTTTTTTTTTTCATTAACTGATTCTGTTTTCTCCCATCCTAGGAACACCATTTAGAGGGCTAAAGGAATGGGGGAGGTAAGGACCTATTTTGTTCCCACCCCTCCCCCCAGTCCATGTATAGTTTTCTTTAGCAAGTTCATCAAATCCCAAAAACATAAGTAACTAAATGAATAGGAAAATAAATGATTAGATTGACCAAAAAACGGATTAACTTATGATGAAATTTCTCCCATCCTAAGCATATTAGGAGCAAGGGAAGGGGTCAGCAGAGAGCTGTTTTGTCCCCACCCATCCTGAAATTTTATGTTTTGGCATTTTCATCACATCCCCTAAAACATCAAAAGTAACTGAGTGATTGGGTAAATAAATTATTGAATTAAAAAAAATCAGTTACCTTTTGGTGAGCGTATCAAACCGGAAAATGTGGGGAGAAACTATTGTTTACTTTTTTATTACAATCAAACTTAAGTTTTAGACCTACTTGTCTTGAAGCTCTGCCACTAAGGCAGAATTCTTCGCTGCAGCCAATTGGTGCTGTGTTCTTTCTCGAGCCATTTCTTCGAGTTTGTTCCTCAGTTCCTCTAGTTGACGTTCGTACATGCCCTTCAGAGCCACCATCTCATCCTCTAGAATCTTGGTCGTGTTTGTAAGATTTACTGTTTCCATACGGCCGCTTTGCTCGCGCATTTGTCGCACGCGAGATATGTATGAAGCAAAGCGATCGTTTAAACTCTGGAGATAATCTTTCTCCATGTAACGAGGCACAAGAATCGGCGAACCCCGAGTAGTCATCTTTCCTCGTTGGTGTCTTGGCAACTAAATGGTCAAGTCCTCAAGTCGCTAAGTAAACTAGACCTTCCAAGCAAACAAATTTAATAATTAAAGACGAATGTTAACAACTGCGGAATCCCTGCCGCGATAACTGAATGTTTTTAATATCCTGTCGACCACAATTTAGAAGTAGTTTCGACAGTTCTCTCAATTATTCGAAAAGCCGATTTCGCATATTACTGTGTAGCTCACCGAGAAGAACACGAGCCGTAAATAGGATGAGTACACACAAATCAGATTCCTCCGCAATTTGTAACAAAATGTTGTCGCTAGGGAGGGTCAAAGTTAAACAAAACGTTGACTTTTGCAGTTACTTTCACCGAAAAGCCAACAAGTCGTTGATATCCCGACGAGATTACGAAAATCAAAGTTATTTTTCGTCTGTAGAGCTGAGTTCCTCGATCGTAGGGCACTAAAGTTCAAGTTGTAAGTACATTACAAGTTGTCTGCCCAAGTGTTCGCGGACTCTTAGGGAATAACAAGTGATGGAATTCGAACCTCTCGAAAAAAAACTACTCCCAACGCACGCGCCAACGGAAGGAAGATTTCACTGTGATTCCATGCAGTGGTCTTCCATCAGAAGAGGATCGATCGCCAATCGTTCAGAACTCTCTTGTGTTTTTTTTTACTTAGCGTCGAAACCGTATCTAGGCAATGACTGCAAGAGCACATGGGAGCTGTTCTCAAGAGACAGACACACAAAACATTCATATTTGCATGACCAATCAGAGCACGGCTTCGAGGCAGGGTGTAAGTTTCATACAAAGGCAGCCATGCGCGACGCTATTGTCTTATAATGAATCTAAGGAAAAACAAATTATTTTGGAACAATGATTTAAAGAAAGAACTTCAGAAAATTACTTCACAGTGTGTAATTAAGTGGCGTTGTTGGTGAAATGATGGACGGTTTACGACCCTGTGAAGGCTTCATTGGCATTCTTTGAGCACAAAGAGTTTCCACAAGGAGAGATGATGATTGAATGACTGACAAGCACTTCCAGTGTGCTATGATATCTGTGATTCGATGTTTAAATTAAAAACACCACCTCTGACTACAGGAACCAAAATCCATGATCTCAAACATGCAATTGTTTTTCTATGCTAGCACCAATCTACAGTTATTGCTGACACATGAAACTTTCTTTAGCCACAATGCTTTAAGCCATCAAGATTCTCTCTAGCAAATGGGACAGCTTGTTTACATAAGACAGGATCATGCACTGACTTCTATGTTGGTAAAAAAGAGAGAGAGCCAAATTCATGCATTCATATTGGGTATGAATATTTGATCAAAACCATGAATTGGTAGGCATGTGCTGGGAATAGTCAGGAGTAATTATGCTTCACAAAAGGTAAGGTCAAAAGGATTTGGGCATGAGCTATTTCCATTCACACCAAGCCTCCACAACCTCTAAATAATGGACAGTCCCCTAAAGGGTAGGATGGGGTGCTACCTGGGTACTGGCTGCAGATAACGAATGACTAATTCAAAAATTCTGTCTCCTTTCCATTTCTTGTTGGACACATGACAATTGAAATTCAATGAGGAGCACCACTTTATTATTTCAGAAAAAATGCATGATTTCTTCTGTTTCTTTATCATTTATGTAGTATTATTCAGTTCTTTTTCCTTTCTTTTAACCCAGTGAAGTACTTTCCAGACACTTTGCAGATTTCCCTTGGTGATAGAGAGAAGAGCTGGGTATTGGAACTAGTTATAGGCAAGAGATGCAAAGAACAAATAGTTCTGGCCATCATCACCAATGGAAGCTGGCAATATGCTCCATGATTGCTACATTTCATTAGATAATATCACTCCAGGCACCGGACTGTTGGGTACCCCATTCCATCAATCCATACATGATTAACACTTTCTACAGTCTAAATATATTTATAAAATTTAGATAAACATATTTCTTTATTTCAGAAATTTAAATTCAGTTAACAAAAGCTCACACAATGAGTATCAAGATAAGCTATAATTATGGCAAATTTTTAAATGACTGATTTGAGGTAATAATTTATTATAAAATTCACTCAACTTCCTCTCATAAATAAATTTAAATAAATCTTATTGACAAAAAAAATGTTTCTCCCTCTTACAACTTTTAAAAGGAATCATAATATAATAATTAATTCTCTCGTTCATGATATTACTTTAACCTTTATCAAATTAAAACTGCAGATATATTTCTTTTAACGCAATAACAATGCTTAGAGTTCCTTCAACCATTTCCTAGTTTCTGTAAATTTCTCTAAATTTGTCATTTGTTGCTTCAACACATACACATTTCCCCCACCACTATATCACAATCATGTGAAATCATTTCATATTGCAACAAACAATACCTTTTAGGCAATATGATTTGCATTAAACACATCTTCAAGAGCAGCAAACTCATTATCATCCTTGCTTGTTCATCCAAACTCAAACTAAGTTCTGTCAAAAATATGTCAAAAGACTGGATTGGTTATTTTCCTTCCTCCAAATCTGAAACCTTCCACACTGAAAGATCAACAAATATGTCTTCGTTCAATACAGATACACAAAACTCAAGAAATATCAAATGTACTATAACTCTCTCCAAGCCTTGTTGAAACAACCAGTTCCCCTTTTTTTCTTTTTTTATGCTCTTGAATTTTCTTACTGCCAACTTATGAGTTTTTGCTGTCACCCTTGATAAACAAAACATATTTAGCTATATCTTAAAATAATTTTCTTGACAAGGAAGAAAGAACATCTTATTTCACCAACAGTTGCAATGAGTATGTTCACCTTTAAATATAAGGTTTAATCCACAGTCACATACTTGGATGGCTGATGAGAACAAAGAAATGTTGCTTGGATTTACAATTTCAAATGCCATCAAAAACACATTATATAAAAGGACTCCAAATCCCACTCAACCCAAAGTCAAATTTTAGGACCTGAGATCACCAAAATAGTCACCAGAAAAAGAAAGAGTTACCAAACTAGTGTCTTTTGCAGCATATTTGGTTGCAACAATTAGAATAACAACCTGGAGCATTACATCAGGAAGCACCAACAAAGAAATATTTGGTCAAATTTGCTTTAGATACTTGAGATTGAAGAGTTCACATATTCAATTTGGTCTAGAAAATAATATGCTTAAGATACTGTCCTGATCAAACATAAAAAAAGGCAGTGTTTCCATTAATAGGAAAACAAGAAAATTATCCATCAAGCAAGCATTTCATGTAAACAAACAGACATACCACAAGCTCTAAAGAGTGCACATATTACTTACATAATATTTAGCAGCCTTGAAGGATTCTGAGACAGAAAAACTTTGTTTAAATTCATTTCACTTGGCTTGTCCAAAGTGTCTCACCTCATTCTGGCATGGAAACACTCCTTCATCTTAAGAAAGGAAAAAAGGACCACAAAAATCTACTTAAATCAACTTGCAACTCTTAAATTAATATAACTCTGGTGTTTGATACATTCATTAGTTAAAAAGATGACTTCTCTGCTGTTATTAGGAAGAATACTACTTCTGATTGATAAGAGAAGAATCTTTTAAGAATTTTTCCCAGGAGGCATGATCAGTTTTTTGGGTCAATGACACAAGAAAAATCCCAGTGAAATTCTAAGTAGCAGTAAGCAACTCTCCTGTGGAACCAAATAAAAAACAGAACTTCAGTTTTGCAAGCAATAACTCTGGACAGGAAAAAAGTATTTACTGCACTAAATCTTTCTTTAAACATGGAAAGGGTCAAACTTAAGGTCTACCGCTAAATGGTGTGCAAACAACTTTCGATCTGGAAAGTTTAGTAATGTAAACATTTCTTTTGCAAATCTGCAGATTTTTGGCCTTCTTTGTTCAAGTCTTCTTACATAGTTAAAAAGGCAATCCACGTCTCCTAACAAAATATAAACTTATGAAGCCTTTTCAATCATTCTGGGCATTTAGAGACCCCAAATAATTACAATCAAAGGTGCCTTTGTTTGGAGAATACAAACTGTTTCTGGTTCTTGGAATAATTTTTATCTCAGTGAATATACTTCTTTCAAGGACAATTTTTAATTGAACTTAGTTCCGTACAGGACTAAAAATTAATGCAGCTGAAAGACCTGATAGTGATATCTGGTTCAGGGCAGACAGCTAACAGATTTGGTGATGAACAGAACAGTCCAAACTTTGAATACTGTTCAAGTGGGATCTACAGTACAATGAATCCAAACACCCTTGGAAACATTCAATTTGCATTGTTTACCAATCCAGAAAAATCTCTTCTCCTATAAAACTAGTCCATAAAGGATTTTTATAAGATGTGAGTGTGATGTCAAAAAGTTTATTATCACAAGGATCAAGTTAAAAAAAATTCTTATATTTGTTTGATGTTCCAAGTATGTATAATACCAGTAATAATAATAATGATAAAAGTAATTTATTTATCAGTTTCAAATATCATCCCAACAGGTAGCACAATAGGGGGTAAGGTTTTGGATTGGACAAAGAAAGTTAAACTTCTAGAAAATCTCAGACCCAAATTTACAAAATGAAACTAAATATGCCCAACCAAAGACAAATTATTGAATAAGAAAAAAATACAAAACAAAAATATGTATATTGATGTATCCTTGGACAGAGCAGATGAAGACACAGGTTTGTCTAAGAGACGAAAATTACTATATTTAACTTGAAAATTATTTGCCAGACGTACTTACCCCTCACCGCACGACTATGACGTCATGCATGGAACGATAAACTCTAAACAACACTAAACTGTTTCTCATACACATCAATGTAATTGTTGTGTAGTATAAATCCAGAAGTCAGATGAAAAAAAATAAAAAGGAAAAAGGAAAAGATGTACATACCACGTTTTTCTTAGACAAAAACTCCCGGATCATCAGGGCTATCAAATGCCCCAATTCTCTGTCGGACAGGAGATTTATGAGAAGAAACAGCTCCATGTGACGAATCATCTTTTTGTGTCCCATTTCGGGATGGTGTTTGAGAAGCCACAGAACCAGTTAATTTGCTTTCATCAGGCGATAAAAGCATATCATCCACGCCATTTAACGGAATGTCCTTCGCGGTGTCTAATTGTAGATTTTTGTCTAAATCGTAATAAGATAAGCGAATTTCTGACGATGAATCACCTTTCAGCGAGTCGAGTTGTACAGTTTTTTGGCGCGCGATCCGTTCTAATTCCGAGAACGACTTTTTAATGTTTTCAACTTCCTCGCTCTGTCGATCAGCGAGTTCTCTTTGCTTTGACAGCTCTTCTCTTGTTATCGATATTTCTTGAGCAAGTTCTTCCAGATCACTCACGCCGATTCGCTGTGAACCATTGTCAATGTTCCTGTCCTGAGGAGCTCGCATGGAATAAATTTTGGTACCGACGCTTTCTAAATCGGAGATGTGAACATCTAGATGGTGAAGTTTATTTCGGTGATCTTCAAGTTCGAACTGGAGTTTTTCCTCCCGTGTTCGTTCTTTCGCGAGTTCGTTTGCACAAATTCCTTCCACGGATAATTCCTTGGCTTGCAATTTCAGAACCTGTCCGAGTTTAGTGATACGATCCTCGGTGATTTCCTCTTCGGTGAAGTAAAGATAATCTTCTTCGTTGTCGACACAACTGTCAATTCGCAACTGTATGATTTCCAGGTCACGCGTGAGACGTTTCAACTTATTCGTCTGATTAGCGACGACTCTCTCCAAAGTCTTCCGTTCGAAAGAGCGATGAAAAGGGTCACTCGTTAAGTTCTCTTCATCCTCGGAGTGTTCTTCGGTACCTACTTTGCTCTCCTTCGTTTTTGATTTGTCTTTCATTAACTTCAAAATAAACTTGACTTCGCCCGCTTGCTTTCCCCACATCTGCAAGCACTTGAGCGGTTTCGCCTCTCGCGGCAAAATCCTTTCGAGATCTCGCCATTTTTCGACCAAGGCAAATCTTCCAAGCTTACCCGTGGCGCTCGCTAGAGCGAACAAAATATTTTCACATGTAGTATCCTCGTGTGCTCCACGCACAACTCGCGGTACACCATCCACCCAGACTTTAAGATCAGTCATTTTCCCTCATGCAAGAAACGATTTTTGATTTTTAAAGGTCATAATCTACCCATAGTAAAGCCTTCCTTTATCAAAAGGGCAGATTTCGTCGATAGATAACCGCGAAGTCTGCCTGGATTCATAGTCAAATCACCAGTGGTCTTGAAACAAGGGGGTTTTCTCACTGTGAAATCCACCGGCTTTCGATTTTGGACGCACGATAAGGCGATCTTTTAGCCATCTCGCTCCGAATGCGTCTCTGTACTCAGTTCAACTACGAACGAATCAAGCAAATAAAGGCAAACGCATGCGTAAGGCACGACTTGGGTGAGAATCAAGAACTGTTAACGGGATGTTTACTTTGTTGTTTTCTTGACAGTCCTCTCTGATCGATTCAAGATAAAATTAATTAAGCTATACTCTTGAGAAATTTTGGAATGGCATGGACTGCATCGAGACAAGGATCTGGAACCCACATCACGTTTCTTAAAAATGATTTATTGATCCTAAGACAATACTTTTAATTGACACTGATTTGAATCTACTTAAAAAAAATTGTATTAAATTATATCTGGCTCATTAAAAAATGAAGAAAACCATGAAAATAGTTACGATAGGATTACAGCTACCTGCAAAGGTGATAATGATAAATAAAAATGTGAATCACTTAAATGGAGAGAAAAATCGTGTAAAACATGGGCCTATGGGAAAGAAAGAAGGAGAAGATAATAGCCTATTTTTCAGTTTAGTCAGCCCTGTGAGGTTGGAGGAAATGTTCTCCTTTTAAACACTGGATCAATGGATAATACAATTTGAGAGTTTTCATTTGCTTAGCCATCATGGATTATGAACCATTACATAAGAAAATAAAGTTTATGAAATAAAGTCAGGAAGATTTATCTCTATTTTGAGGCATTTTTCATAAAGCAATTATTCTACTTGCGCTTGTTGGATATGAGATGGTTATAGCCAACTTGGCCCTACAGATTTCGTTTGTCATCCATCATCTCGTATCCAGTGTGCAGTCATGGAAAAATGGCTTAATATCCAGTGACCTGAATTACACGATTTTTTGGTCCAAACAGCCCTAATTGCTAGTGGAGTTTATATCATTGTTCCTCTTGATAAACTTAAGCACTGATTTCAACCAACTGATTGCCATTACAAATTTGCATTCTTCAGTATTTTGTAATGATGTGTCTTCGGTGTGGCAATAATCATCTTTAGAAAGTATTTCATTCATGACATATTCTAGAAGGATACATAAGCCAGTGTACCTTTCCATAACATCAAAGCCAACAGCTTTTTGTAGTTTACGCAAACAAACTGGACAAAGAAATAAAGGTTGATTTTCTGCTTGGAGGACTGATTTACTCTCATTCATGGCACAAGCAAAATATGAACAGTGAGCCATTCCAAACACATGACATATTTCATGGCTTGATACCTGAAAACAAACAAAATTGATATCTATGGTAAAGAAGATGACAGCAAAGCTTAAAGTATAGCCTGAAGTTCCATTTTCTCTCTGAGACTGAATCCCAATTTAGCTTTTATGAGGGTGGCAAACAGTTTATATGTGCAGCATGATTAAGCTTAAGACTCAAGGAGAATGTGTGCATTTTATAGAAAGCCAAGGTATGGTGAGGTTTGAAGTTTCACCTTTTCAATTCTTGATGCACAAGATTACGTACTGTTTAAAGCACACGATACATGAATTGTTTTAAAATTTGTGCAGGAAACAGGATCTGGACCTCTCTCCCCCCCACCCTCCTCCCCTTTGCTACCCTCTTACATGGGGCATGCCTTGCAATTTGCCATCTAAACATGAAATTAAAACAATGCTTAATATGTTGACAACAACAAATTTTGTCCTGACAGTAGGCTTCCACAGCATTGTTATGTTTTTCCACCAATACTTCTCATTTATGAACTACACGGTGATTTAAAGCAAGAAGCAAGAGTCGGATAATCCTGAACACTGGAAATATTAATGGAGTGCTCTTGAGTTTCAAGGATAAAGCCAACTAGGCATAAGAAACTAAACTACTAACAACAAAAGAAATTTAAGTTTCCAATTTTAAGGACACAATTGTAGTCAGAATCAATCTGAACTTGGTTTCTGAGTACCACATTACATAACTTGCATGTCTCACCCACCCATACTCTCACAGACCCAAAGAATCTTGGTTGCTTATGTGTAATATTAATTAATGAAGGCTGGAAACATGAAGAACAAAGTATGATTAGATGCAATCAAGTTTTACCTATATTGGATAAATGTACACTCTAGCAGAGTATGTTCATCTTTGAACATCTTACCCTTAGAAGTCTCCAAATGATCTCTTTATTGACTTTTTCTATATCTGCAAAATCTTCCAGGTAAAGGCTTACATCATCATGAACATTCCTCTCAAAAGAGACTGAGGAAATAGTTCTATCAGCTTTGTCACATTGCACTCCTGCAATGTTCTGATTTGTTGTATCATTTAAATGTTTATACTGGTAGGACTGTGGCTCAAAATGACCAAAGCTAACCACAGCACAACCATCCTCACATGATGATTCCCCTAGAACAAAGTTCCAATCTTCACCAGGATAAAGATCCACCCATGTAAGACCAATG